AAAAAAAAAAAAAAAACTTGAGATATATGCACACAACGAGGCAGTCATTCAACAGCAGCACTGAACTACCTCCAAGTCATAGAATGCACTCTTGCTGCAGTGAAGGCAGGGGACAGTACTGAACAAGACCTGCTTGGGCTGCCTTAAGTCCCTCAGGGTCTGCCTCAGCTGAGCCCCAAGCTGGGCAAGTCCCCCTCGGTTGAGAACACCCTGTGAGCATCCTGAGGGGTGGGATAGAGCCCTAGGCTTAACTTGCTCAGCCCAACAGTGTGGTGCAGAAGTTTCCCCAGGGCAGCCATGGTGATAGGCTTCCCACAGAAGATGAAGGACCATAGCTTGGAGCAGTGGGTCAGGGCAGGGAGGATGGCGTTGAGTTGGGAGTCTGTGATCCCACATTCTTCTAAGTTCAGGGACTGGAGGGTGGCTGCAACTTTCTCAAGAAGATGTTGTAGGGGCTCAGAATTTAAATGGATCAGTAGGATGCCACTCAGATCCAGGTCCTTCAACTGACCGACACTTGGGTTCTGGGAGAGATGCTTCAAGTCTAGTTCCAAAAGCACACAGTTACTTATTTCAAGAGTCTTTAAAGGAGCCTTCCGACATGTGGAGAAAGAGCAAAAGTTAGTTCTGGGGGATATCGTGAAGAGGAGAGGATGTTGGGTAATTACCTCAAGTTGGGAGATAAGGATCCTTTTGCCCATAACCAAGGTCATTCTGATTATCTGATGGTCACAAGCCAGGAAACTGTGTGAAGAAGAGTCTGACCATTCAGGTCAACTCCATTTTTGCTGAGTCCTTTCCCCATCACTTATGTACCTGGGTCAGGTCCACAGAATCTCTAAAGGTCCCTTTCCTTATCTATCAGGCAGAAAACCACATCTCTAGGACACAGGACCCCACTGGAAAACTTACATAAAGGAAAAACCCAGGAAAGAAATGGTAGGCCGGGGGCGATGGCTCAAGCCCATAATCCCAGCACTTTGGGAGGCCAAGATGAGAGGATTGCCTGAACCCATGGGTTCAAAAGCAGCCTGGGCAACTTGGCAAGACCTCATTTCTACAATAAATTAAAAAATTAGCCAGGCATGATGGCTTATACCTGTAGGTCCAGCTACTTGGAAGGCTAAGGCAGAAAGAACGCCTAAGCCCAGCAAGTCGAGACTGTGATGGCCAGGAGCATGCCAGTGCCTTCCAGTCTGGGTGAGAAAGATTCCAACTCAAAAAAAAAAAAAATCTGGTAACATAAGCTCAGATCACCAGCATGTAGGGCTCACTGATATGCCTGAATCATCAGGCAAACCATTTGTCACTTTTACCATTCTTCACATCTGCTCCCTCATTCTCTATTTCAGAATAAGGCATACCCCAATATTAATTACCTTTCCTGGACCTAAAAATCATCTTTTCCCCACAGGTAGTTAGAGAAAGGGTCATTAGGGTTCACTCAACTGGTGAGAACAGAGATTATGTTTGGAGATGCTCAGGTTTGATATACTTTCCCTCAGCACCCTCTTCCCTTACCTATTTTCCATCATCTTCCCTGACACACGTCCTCAGGAAGAATTCACAACCTACCCTCACTAGATCTTAATCTCACAATAACTAGCACCCTACCATGGTGTCTCCCTGTAGAGTCTACCATCCTTTATCCCTCTACCTTTAATAGAGTGGTTAAGTGACCCCCACTTCAGGACAGAGCAGGGAACAGGACCCTACACTGACATTCTAGAATCTGCTTCACTGTGACATTGCCAGAGGCTGGCACGAAGCAGATGCCCTTCAGTGTTTACTGTTACAAAAAAGGGCTTTGCTCTGTCTGGTCTGCAGAGACATCTCCCCATCCTTCCTCACCTGAGCAGCTGACCTAAGTGACCTTCTAGGAAGGAGACAGAGTTCGTGTAAAGCTTCTAGAGTCAAAGCTCAAGTCAGAGATGGGTCTTTGCCTAAATTGAGAGGTGAATTGAGTCACAACCTCCTCCTCTTTCTCTGGGGAAGTGTGAGGAGACCTTGAATGTGGGAGAGAATAAGTTTGCAGAGATGACTCATCTGGCCCAAGTAAGGAACAAACCATGCCAGTGTGGACAGTGTCCTGAGGCAATTCACTTCCACCTCCTGGAGACAGTCTAGGTCTACCATGTTTAGGACTGATCTGATCTCCTGGATGAGCATGGCAAGTATAGTCAGCTTCTTACAACACAGAAGTAGTAAATCTCTTCTCTCCTTGACCCATAGAAAGAGGTAGCTGAGACATTTATCCAGGGCTCTTTCCTGGAGCCCAAGGTCTAGGAACACCTTCAAGGGCTGCTTCCTTCCAATTCTTGGACAATTCTTTACTGTTTTTCTAGTACTCAGAGCATTTGGTAAATGCACTTGGGCCATCGTTTCAGACCACTCCGCTATGTTGCCAAGTCTGGTCTTGAACTCCTGGGCTCAAGTAATCCTCCCGCCTTGGCCTCTGCATATGCTGAGATTACAGGCATGAGCCACTGTGCCTAGCCTCATGACTATTTTTTTATTTTTAAAAATGGCACCAATTTTATGCAGTGCTTTCTGTCTTTTCCAATAAGGTTAATTATAAAAACTGAAAATATAGGCTGTGTGAGGAATCATAACACTCCATTGCCAAGATTTATGGCCTTAAATGAGAGGAATGGTATCCTTAAAGGGTGGAAATAAACTGAACTGGGCTCAGAGGCTCAAGCTTGTCATGCCAGCACTTTGTGAAGTGGAGGTGAGAGGATTGCCTAAGCTAAGGGGTTCGAGACCAGCCTGGGCAACTTGGCAAGACCTTGTCTCTACAGTAAATCAAAAAATTAGCCAGGCGTGGTGATGCATGTCTGTGGTTCCAGCTACTTGGAAGGCTAGAAGGATCATGTGGGCCTAGGAAGTCGAGGCTATGATTGTCATGAATAAGCTGCTGCA